GTGCATGGTCAACACCCCCCACCCGGCCTGGACACCACCCTCGTCCATAGCCCCTTTCCCCACACTGGGCACAGCTCAGCATCCATGCCTGGTCCCCCCTGCCCCTACCCAGCCCCCTCCCTGTCTCCACTGATTGGAAGAGGGTCGACATGCAAATCAAAGCCACAGCATCCACTGGCTGCCCAACACCATCCATTTTTTCTCTCAAGAATCTAACTGAGAGACACAGGCAGTGGTCATCAGGGAACTCTGGAGTTAAACCATCACGTAGAGGCAAGAGGAGAATGAAAGTCACTGTGAGCCCAAATCCCTGGGAAGGGTAACTGTCTGTGATAGGAAGAGGCTGGTAGGCAGAGGAGGAAGCAGAAGTGCAGGGAGAGGCAGAGACAGTGACAATGTAGGACAGAGACCCAGAGAGTCCCCCAGGGAACAACCCCCAACCCAGAGAAACGTCAACTGATGGACCAATCCTGACTCCCAGCTTCCTCGCCCCCACATCAAGTGAGGCCCACGAGTCTTCCTCTCCTACCTGTGGAGGGTCCATGAGGCCTCTCACAACCATGTTCCCCTGTTCACTTAGGTGGGCTCAGTTTCCTGCACCCACAGAGTCCACAGAGGAGGGATTAGTCGGCCTGCTGGGAGTGTTTCCGAGCCGCTATTATTTCCTCCTCCTCCCTCCTGCTAGTCCCCCAAGAGTTTGCACATATGGAGGAAGCCATCAGCACTGCTACCTCAAGTGCCTCCCACAAAAGCCAACACCCCTCCTTTTCACAATGGAACCCACCCCCAAACTAGCCTCACACAGGTCCTCTCACCGGCAAAACCTTCTCCACCTCCCACCCCACATTGGCCCAATGATCTGAAACACTCAACACTTACACATATAAGTACTTGTCTTGCCATATAAGTACTAGGTTTGATCCAATGAATTTACTTGGGGGGAAAAAAAAGTTTGCGAGTTTAATAAATGCAAAATTCTTTCATAGGAATGAGCAAAATCAGAGAGGAATGAGACGTGGTGTCAGCCTTCAAGGAGCTGACAATCCTGGGGACTAGGAGCAAGTGCTGAAAAAAACACATGAGAGAGATTAACGTCAACTGGAAGAAGCTGAAGACGTTGCACTGCTAAGGCGGCTTCCAGTGGGAGATGGGGAGGAGAGGGTTCTAGGGCTTCCGGGCAGGGCTTAGGGAGTAGGGGACAAGTGGGAGCCCTGTGTGGCTGGCAGCCTGCGAACGGGACAGGGCACAGGGAAGGCAGGTTGGGCTTGGGGAAGGCCTGCAGGGCCCACAGAAGAGCTGGGGGCTGACAACACAGGCAGTGGGGGTCCAGCAAGGCCCCTGTGCAGGGAGTCACAAGGTCAGCGTTCACAGAGTCCATCATCCGTGCTTTAAGTTACCAGCCCTGAGATGGACAGGGCGACACACTGAACGTAGCGTTGGAAAACAACGGCTCTCTAATCAATTTGGATAAACTGTAAAATGAGAATTGACTCTTGGGCCTGGCTCTATGGCTTGAGTATAAGAGCTTTTTTATAGCAAATTCAGTTGATCTTCCACCTCTCCTGACGTCAGAACCGTTATTCTCGCCCCATCGTGGGTGCTCAGTGTCACTTGGTCTAATGAGAGTAAAAGCTTAAAGCACAGCCTCTTCAGCAAGTTAGGAAACACATGTCCTGAACATTTTGGAAATCTAGTCAAGGCTCTATGTCTGTATCCTTTTTTTAAGTTTTACTGGATATAACCAGCCCCTACATCAGAAACTCTATTCTAAGCCGATGTTAATTATCAAAGGGAGAGACATCCCGATCACTCTCACCACGCCCCACGCAACACCACCTTCATTTACGAAGCCCTCAGCAATGTACACAGAGAAGTAACATGACGGACATGTATCTAATTTAAGTATGACAGGATGCATTCCTTGTGCAGCTCCCAGACAGGAAAGGGACGCAGCTGGGCTCTGAGAGCAGTTACACATCCATGTGGGCCACTGAGAAGGCGGAGGACAAGGAAGTGATAAAGGGCGGTCCAGCACAGAGCAACCATAAATGGCGCTCTGAGGACAGAACGCCCCTTTCACACTGGGCCACGGGGAGAGCGTGGCCAGGCCCGATGCTGCTATGGAGCGGCAGCAACCAGTCCGCCTGGCAGCCCAGGGCCTGTAGCCCAAGCTGGGCTTCCAGTGGCCCTTGCCACGTCACCAACTTTCTCTGGGCTTCGTGTGCTTCGGCTACAAAATAATGACATTGCCAACATGCCTACAGCGCCACCATTCTGCCAGAATAAAACACCCTATGGCCTTCCAGGTGACTTTGATGCCCATCTTCCCCAGAAACTCAGTGGCACACTGAGGACTGGCCCATGGTAGAGGGGCACACTCTAGGGCAGACTTCAACCCACCTGAGAAACTGCAGGAAGAGTGGGCCCTTGGGAGGATTCCCAGTCACCTGATGGCTTGGAGTTGCACCGGGTCATCCTGGGCCTCGCCTTCCCCCAGGCCCGGAGGCCAGCCCAGCAGGGTCACCGTGGGCCAGGCCAGGCTGCAGGACCATGCTGCATTCACAGTGACAGACTGCAGGCTGAGAGCTGGCACAGGACCATGTATTCATCCAGATTCAGAATCTACATAAGCCAAAGCATTCTGGGTTTTCCTTTTCCGTTTTTAAAAAATTTTAAGCTGTTAACTATTAACACCTATTTATTTTCCCCAAAGCACTTTTTTTTTTTCTGATGAGGAAAAATAATTCTCCTCCTGCCCACCTTTCTGTTCACCTCCTGTTTTCACTTCACTATTGGCTGCTAAAGAAAGAAGATGTCATTTCATTACATCCCTGGAAGCCCTCAGTGGGTCTCCGAGGCTTTGGGCACTGGCGTAGGTTTTTACAAACATGTATGCATTTTCTCTTTCTACTCGACAAGGCAACCTTCAATCCAAAAGCTACTGCACACCTCCCAAGTCATCAGACAACCTCAGAAACGGGGGAAGAGGCCAGATCTTTCAAGATCTCTGTCATTTAATACAGGGACACCCCGTGCAACACAGAGCCACTTATCTGAGCACTTTACTCACAGCAGAAAGACTGCTGGCAGACCAGATTGTGCCCACCCACCTAGAGGCCGGGCTGATGGGCCGTGTGGCCCACAGAGACCTGTTATCACGCAGGGGCGAGAAAGTCCTAAGCAAGCTGTGGCAGAGGCTGGGGGCCACAACGCCCACACGAAATTCCAAAGGGGATTCTATTGGCCCAACTCTCATCTCTGATCCAGACCTTCGGGACTGAGGAAGACCCCACACAGCCTACATGGCACGTTCGCATGAATTCTACAGCCACTGCTTAGAAACAGCCTTCTGCTTCTCAGCAGCTGTAACAAGGGTGGGAAGAATGAACTGAATCCATGAACATATATTCAACGCCCTCTGTCCCCAGCACAGCAACACTCTCTGCAGGAAATACAAAAGGGAGGAGGAACCGTGGTACAGCCTCGGGACACTGAAATCCAAGATGGAAGGTACAGATATATTCGGCACAAAACTAAAAGCACCGGAAGGCAGGATAAAATCAAGCACAGGTTTGTGTAGTCGTAACTAAGCTGTCCTAAATATCAGCCAACTTGTCCATAAGCACCTTCTTCCAAAGTCCATGGTGGGCCTTTCTCAGGGAACATGGCTGAAAAGACACGTAAGCCCAAGACAGCAGCGGACACCAGGGTGAGTTGTGAAGGGCCAGGTTCAAGAAAACCAGCTTCAAGTTCTTTTCCATTCTGTGTTTCCCCTGGAACATTCTGAACCTGGCCCCATCAATTAATAATGCTTGCCCCTCTCCAGAGAAATGGTTCTGACTTGGCAACACAAACCTGCTTTGACTATACTGAGCATGAAGAGCAGCGATCACCGCCGCTTTTACTCAATAACCAAGGTATTGGATACTCTGAATTACAAGTACACAATCCCTCCCACTTTTTGCCTGAAAGCTGTCAACCAACAAGGAAGATCCTTCCCATGAGAAGGTGACTTCTCACCATGAAAGGCTGGCGCATTCCCTTTGGACTTAATTTATTCCCCTTTTTGTTTGCATGTTTGTTTCCCTTAAAGACCGGTCCATTTCTTGCTGGTTAGACAGTTTCATAACATGTTCGATACAAGCAGAGCCTTCCTTCCCCAGTCTGAGCCCGGTCCCAACACAGCATTAAAGACAAACACAATTTTATGAAGTGATGACAAAGGTTTCCTCTAGGTCAAAACTGCTTGGATGAGAGTTGCAGGGCTCGTCTCCCATGCTGGCTCTGTGGCAAGCTGCCTAAATTCCCTCGTTTTTAACCCTCCCGTTCCCCCAGCCAACCCACCCTGTTGTTGTTGTTATAAGAAAACACCCACAGAAGCAGCTGTATGCAGATGGGGACTCCCATGAGGGCCAGTGTGTGTGCCAGGGAAACACACGTCCGGAGCCAGTGGAATTATATGAGTACACAAGAAGAAAGGTGTCGTTCACAAGTGGAGGGGAATACCGACCTCTTTCAACTCTGTAATGCACCAAATATTGAAACACAGTCATAAGAAAGCCGAGTGTACTAGGAATGTGTGCCTGACATACATTCGCTTTCACAGAGTTCTTACATGATTCCTAGCTGAGGCAGTATCAAGAGATCATAAGGGAACAAAGAAGCCAAGTACTGACATGCAGTGTTTAGCGTGATGGAATTTGTTTACTCACCACTGTTTATTGAAGGCCTACTAAGGCCAGGCCCTGTGCTCAGTGCTCTTGGAATCTTCCTACCTCGATGGAAAGCAGTGGTCTTGTCCCTCAACCCCCCGCCCCCGCTCCCTCGCCCGAGCCAATGATAAGGAGTTGAAGGGTTTTCCTTACATACCCACTGCCAAACCCCCAAGTGAGAAGAAAATGGCGGGTTCCCAGGGAAGCTTACCCCGCCTCAGATGGTCTGGCGGCAGCGGCTCTCTGGGGCTCTCCGTGGACTCTCAGTGCGCGGCGGTCGTTTTCGGAGTCACTCCCACGTCCCGTCCCCAGGGGTGCCTTACTGTGTGGGAAGGCCGCGGGGCCATCTTCACACCCGTTCAGCAGGCCCGCTCTTGCTCTTGTCCTCGCTGGCGGGCGCCCCTCATGGTGATCCTCGTGTGGTGCCGGGAGATCTCGTGACAGCTTGTATCCATGAGATATCAGGAGGTCTTCTACACTGTACATAATGCACGGGCCTCATCAAAGCTCAGCTGCTGGGACCGTCGTGGGGGCAGGACCCACACTGCGGGGACAACAGAGAGGGTTCATGAGGATGCACACATTCTCCCTGCAGCTTCATCTGACACTGCCTCTTCCCTTCACCCTGACCGAGCCAGACCCTGGTTATCAGCACGGTGCGGTGCCTACACAGAAAGCGAAAAAGTGGGGATTGCTCTGCCTGAAATTACTCTGTTTTATTCAAGTGGAGAGCATGCACACAGCAGGAACGCCACAGGATGTGGTGGTAATTCTGGGGACCCCACCCTCTGATGGCTGCCTCTGGTAGAAGGGTCCAGGATAGTGTTTAAGCAATGAAATGATTGACAGTTTCACCATCCCCATGCCCCAGTCATCTGAAAATAAAAAGCATAAGGAGACGGGACAAAATAAATACAGACTCAGAAGCTGCAATTACTACCTCATGTTTCTAAAAAGAGAAAGTCCCCGTGTCCAGCTTAACCTTATTATACCTCCTTGCTTTCATCTTGTAGACATACCTTTTGCTCTAAAAGGGCAGAGCAAGGTCTTTCATCAACACCTAGCCATGATCGCGTCAGCGTGATACGCCGTAGCAAGGGCAGCTACCGTAGGAAAGCATCTTCCTTCCTACACTAGCTGCTGAAAATAGTTCTGAAGTTTTGAGGCTCGTCATGAGAAAGCATATGACACAGATCGAGCATACACGCCCAACCCACTACACAATCCCAAATGTCTCTTTTCCATATGAAACTTTTAAGAATCACATTTCTCCCCAATAAATCTTGGGAAAACGTTTTACTTCTTTGGGCCAAGGGTGTCCACATCCAAATCCTGCCACGGTACATTAATTCACCGGCAGCTACTTCCCCGAGTAAACTGTCCTAGGGCCACTGTACCAACAACAACAAAAAAAAGGATTAAAATGGACAGGAGCCTCTTTGAGAGCACATGTGTGAAAACAGGTGAGGCTGCCATGTTTATTTGTACACAAGAGAATCTTCTTTCCTGTGTCTCCCATTGTTAGTCGAGGGGAAGGCAGTTTGGTCAGAGGATCTGGCTCCCCAGAGGTACCCCAAAGCTGGGCCTGTAGGAGCTGGGCCAGCTCCGGCCCCGCTGCACTGCTGAGCGGAAATTGTGCTGTGGCAGCCCCCCCTTCAACAATGGCCAGGAAATGCCTGCTGGCCCGTGTGCAGGTGAAAGGGAGACGCATGTGCTTCCTGTCAGTGGGAATGCTTACTGGGGCCCATCACACAATTCTGCTGACCGCACATGTCCGCCCTCTTTATCACGTGCACTAGCAAAGGCTCGGTGTCAGCATGGAGAGCATCAAACTTTAGAAGGCCACGACTTTCCATTAGGTACCTGCATTTTATGGGAGGTTGACAAGCGCTGGTAGTTATTACACTAGTAGAAAAATCTCCATAGAAGTTCCCCTACTGCTGCCACTCCTGCCATATGTCCTTCAGGGAGCTGTATGACTTGGGTCCTTCACTTAGACAGAAATGGAAGGACCAGAGAGGCAAGCATTTGTCCTTTGATTCAACTGAGCAAGTCACTGGGTTAGAGGCTGCAGAGGAAAGTGAGTCCATTACAAACACAGGGCTAAGGGCACGCAGAGGCAAGAAGAGGAAGGCAGGCTCTTTGTTTTGTTTCACGCTCTACCCCCAGCCCTAACACATAGTGTGCTCTCAATTAATAGCTGTTGTGTGAATGCACAAATGAGAGAAAGGGACATTTGAGCTAGGTTTTGTAGAATGATTAGGAGTTCACTAGATAAACCACATGTGCATGAGAGAGGGAATTGACATTTAAAATAGATTTCGGGTGTAGTTATCCCAGAAGTAAAGAAACGAAATAACAACATAATCCTGGAGACCTAGACCAGGGTCCCCAGACTCACTGGCTCCATGTCACATATCCAGTCAGCACCACACTTAAAGTTCGAGTTAAGGTCCTGTGATACTCAGTTTCTCTCTCTGACTATGTCAGACTCTTTAAAGGAAAAGTGCACTACACTCCAACTACCCATCCATACACAGAGGGACAGGCCAGTGTCTACCAGAGCTGGTTGTGCTGCAGTCTATTGTTGGGGTGGTAAGAAATGACGCTCACAAAACATGTATGCGGCTCACTTCCCTACTGGGGTTAGGTAAGCTGGTCCATGGTGGCTATGTCTGTATGGTAACTATATTTAGCAAACCCTTAAGTGGCAAGACAACCCAGGCCAAGCCATTAACATCTTTCCAAAAAGGTTCAAACCCCTAAGAGCCATAACTTGACTTGTAGACCTGAGGTCAAAAGCGTATTGATTACTGGAAATTCCTCACGTTTTGAGGCCAGAGCTTGTGGCAAGCAGGAGTATGAAATGTGCCAGCTTTGACACACCGGACTTAGCGGGAGAGGTGAAGTGGGGAGGGGTGACCCACAGGCCCCGTAAACCAGAGTGTTCCCAGCCACTGTTCAATCCATGGAGGACATCTCTCCCTTAGGCTCACACTCTTGACCTTCTCGATGCCACTCCGAGTCTGGCCTTCTACCCCGAGTCAGCCTTCTACCACACTGAAGGTCACCTCTCCCCTTAGACAGGCTACTAAACAGTCACATGGTTTCTCTAATCCCCGGCATACTCAGCTTCCTTTCTTCAGCATCCTTATCTCCTAAAGATGGAAAGAGCTGTCTCACTAACGCGTCAATTACAGCAGCCACTAGGAGGGGACCCTGAGGGGACCAGGAAGAGCCAGGCATCTAATGAGTTGCTGGATTAAAAGCTGTCCCTTCTAAAGCTTCTTTCCAATCCTGAGATGTCAGCATTCTACATCAACAGCATTTAACTTAATCTCAAAGCGTTGTTAAAAAGACAAACACACACCAAAACTAATAAATATCTGTTATTGTAACAGATTTCACAACTTGGCAGATATGCATATGTGTACAGTTCAAATTGCACAGTATCAGATGTGATCCTTTTAATCCCAGCGTTCATGCTGCTATCCAGCCCCAGCTCTGATCCCCAGAGCAAGTCACTAACTGCGTCAAACCTCAGTTTTCTGATCTGCAAAATGGCGATGCTACTACCTTCCTGTCTCACTGATCTGAGGGCCAAATAAGAATATGTAAAAGTGGAAACCACCACACAAGTATAAGATTGTGGATTTATTATGCTACAATATTTCTAGTTTGTCTCTGAAGAGTTATTTGCCTTATGGAAAGAGTTCACATTAGTTGTTAATTTTCATCATGCAGTTTAGACTATTTCCTGATTCCTTTGGTGTCATTTAGGATGTCACTCTTGATTTCCAAAGTCATACCACTGTATAGCACCCACATCTTTTGTCTTTTGTGAATGGATATTCCAAGTCACTTAGAAAAGCAAATGTTTTTTTACATGGTCCAAAACATTAACACAATTCATGGGTACCTATAATGTGCCAGATATTAAAACTAATAATGAGTAAGACACGTTCTTTGCCCTTGAGAATCTGGCTGTCTTACTGTAGAGACAGCTGGAAAACAGGCCATCAAAACGTGGCATATACACGCATTAGTGATGGGAGCTGGCCACCTCTCCCTAGTGTCATAGCACTGTGACAGGGACAAGGACAGGGTGGTATGGAAGGGACCTTTACCCCATCTCAAGGGGCCAGAAAGGCATCGGGAAGATTGCTTCTAAGCCAAACAAATCCTCTACTTCAGGGTAGAGCTGCACAGTAAGATCAACCTGTAAAGGTGATTTTCCAGCCAGGACATTGAAGAATGTTTTTCCTTCACTACTTTTATTTGTTGCCTTGTCTCCAATAATTATTGTGGGTCTTCTGGGAAGAGTGGTCAAGGCAGTGCACATGCTGAGACACAGTCGCGGGTAAGGAAGGGACTTCTAGCATTGGCTGAGCCAGGACACATGACAAGAGACAAATGAGCCCACTACCAACATCGTGTGCATTCTATGAATGTCTAAATGCCACTCATGCAGAGGAAACATTTAACATAAGAACAAACATGTTAACAGAACAGTCCATTAAGGCACCGCTGCCTCTGAAAGCTGGGAGTTTCTAGCTGGGAGGTTCTTAAGCACAACTTATTTGGAAACTTTTTTCTTTTTATAGCCACCTCCCGAAGGTGTGTGCACACACATCAATCAAATCTTTAAAGAGAAAATGTGTACCCTCACATCCTGGTACTATAATATCTCTATTCTATTTCACTTTTTTTTTTTAAATGCAGGTCACCACCCTCTAAATTTCATGGCGCCTTAGTAAGTCACAACCTCCAGTTTGAAAAGCACTATTATGGATATCATTCCTGGGCGGCTCAGGGTGCTGGACTAGATGACCTCCGAAATGTCGGCAAGACCTTGCCAAATCTGTGAGAAACCCCTTGGTGTAACAAATTCGTTGCTCTGTGCTCAATACAAATACAACGATTCCATCCTACCAAAGTTGTTCTTTCCAAGAAAAGGCATAGCTAGGAAGTGAAACTACTTTCCCATTCTTAAGGGCAGTAAATGAAAAAGAAACAAACCTCCTTATGGGAAAATACTGTCTTCTGCTTCCTTCTTCATTCTACCTATGACCTATGAGGGGCTAAGCACCAGAGGCCTGGGCACACTGTGTCACTGGTGACAGATAAACCAGCACTGCAGAGGCAAAGAGGGAGGCCGCAGGTTGCTGGAGATGTGGCAGGGCTGCACTGTTGCCATTTTCATTCTTTCTTTTTGGTTTGAGAAAGCCAAGATGCAGCCTTTTGTTTCTTTTCATTTCACTCTTGTTCTTTTCATGTTTTTCTATTTTCTGGCCCATATAGTCCTTGAGTAAGTCCATCCCTTCAAAAATAAAATCTACAAAGCAGTTTAAACATTCTACCACTACAATAAAGCAGCCTAGTCGAAGGGACACGTTATCTTTATTATTATTAATATTAGTTTCAGGTGTACAGAACAATGTAATAGTTATCTTTTACACTCCTCACAAAGTAACAACTCCCTCTCCCCATCCACTACCCTCCCACCCCCGATATCATACATATCTATTACAATTCCACTGACTC